TCTTCATTACCCATTTAAGCCGTCTCCAGCCATTATTAGTCTCAAAGTGGGTTCCTCGTCATCGAATATTTTAGCTTCCTTCCTTTCGTTAGACGGTTACTTACTTGTATTTGTATTTTTGCATTTATGGCTAATCTAATAAGGAGATCTGCCACTGTCTTTAATTTTGAACTGCAGGATAATTTTCATCCACGCTAAGGTATCTGCTGTCACTCTTATAGCACACCTACAAGTTAAACTGGGGGAATATATTGTGGTGTTGTACAGATTCTAAAGAATAAGAGTTAATCAGGTTGTAAAAACCCATCTAGAATAAGATTATTAAAAGATTGCTAAAGTTGTTTTACAGTTCAGTTTGGTTGAATGTAGAAGACAAATTTGAAAATATCTATATCTTAAAAAAAAATCTAAGTACTAATACATTTTAAGCGTCTTCATTTTTTCTTCACAGAAATGTATCTATCTGCCATCAAGCGAATAAAGTAATGCTGGACAAAATAAGCTAGATACAAAAACTTGGATTAAAAACCAAGGTTGACGAATAATTAAACAAAGCTGAAATAGAAAAGAAATGAATATCGTAAAAACACATTACTCAGTTTCGTAGTGTTTACATTTTAGGCCACTTAATTAGATACACTTACGATGTACAGTAAGGTTGGTTAATTTGTTTAGGTTTGCGCCATAACCATTTCTGGCTTCACATAGGTAATAACCTTCTTCATCTTTGCTAGCTGAATGAATGAAGAGAGAGCCATTTGGATACACAGTGTGTTTGTGATTGTTGTAGACAGGTGTATAATCTGCAGGTTCATCATCTAAAGAAAAGAAACAAATTAGCAAAAGATAAAGAAAAAACAGAAAATTTATACATACGAGATTAAAATTTCTGAGTTATGTTTAAGCAGGAAAATCTAAAGATGCAAAAGGAAAAATATAAGTGACACCTTTGTTGGTGTGGTAATTGTTCTACACAAGCGTTTGTTATTAGTATTTTGTTAAACAAAACTGCAATGTTGCCTTAGTGTATTATATTTAGAATCAAATACTTTCAGAAATAGATTGTTTGTTTTACTACAAAGCTAAACAATGGGCTATCTGCACTATTCCAATACGGGGAATCGAACCCAAGATTTAGCATTGTGAGTCCGGAAACTTATTGCTGACACACTGGTAGACATAAAAAACAGAGATTGGACACTTAGAAAAAGAGAAGCATCATTATTGATTTCTATCCACAATTTTTAATTAAATATTTTTTGTTACGCTTGTTATATATATATATTACACAAGGTTCACAGTAAAGTTTAAACGCATTACAAAGCCATTTGAAATAAATGATTCAAAATGTTATATTACACCTTCTTATTTTAAACACGAGATAAAAGAAATTGTATGAAGTAAACAATCAATCATTCATAAGTTTAATAAATGACACATATATATATACATTAAATATGAAAATCATCTATTTAGAAGAAACTTCCGGCCAAACTTTAACATTATGAACGAGAAAATAGTAAGTTGGAATACTAATGATACTAAATGTGAATAATACAATTGGCAAAGAAATTCGTTACATCATTTCATTATATTGCTAATTATATTTCTGTAAACATGATTGAGTCAAGACAAGATGCAACATGTACATTAACAAAGGATCTTGTGTCATTAGAATAAATAATATAAATTAAGATCTTGAAGCAAGCAGAACATAAATAACTACAGTTATCACATATTGAGGCTGCAAGTTTAAATTAATGTTACTAATTCAAATAACTGATCAGAAGAGATGAAACTTTTCTGCCCAAAATATTTCACTAATTTCATTAAAATACCTGTCATTTATGTATATTTTAATATGAAGCAGTTGATTCTCTTTAGTTGAGTTTGAGGTAGGATATCTATTAAGAATTTGTGTAGTATTTCAGTTAAATTAGAAATACATAGTATGTGTTGAAAATCACGGTAGTATTTTAGTTAGGTTAGAACTAGAATATGTATTGAGATGCAAAATAGTATTTTAGTTGAGATAAGACTAGAATATGTGTTGAGAAGCAAGACAGTATTTTACTTGAGTTAGAACTAGGATATGTGTTGAGAAGCAGGGTAGTATTTTACTTGAGTTTGAACTAGGATATGTGTTGAGAAGCAGGATAATATTTTAATTTATTTAGAAATATAATATGTGTTAAAAGAAGGAGAATATTTTAGTTTATTTAGAAGTTAGAAATATAGTATGTGCTGAAAATCACGGTAGTATTTTAGTTGAGTTAGAACTAGAATATGTGTTGAAAATCAGAGTAATATTTTAGTTGAGTTAGAACTAGAATATGTGTTGAAAATCAGAGTAATATTTTAATTGAATTAGAACTAGAATATGTGTTGAAAATCAGGGTAATATTTTAGTTGAGTTAGAACTAAAAATATGCGTTGAGAAGCAGGATAATAAGTAAATTTCCGTGAAAAAGCCTGGTTTTTAATTTCAGTAGAATATTGAATAACAATGCAGGAATGATTAAGCTGGAATAATGAAATTTTACTGGTTAATAAATTTAATTTACAAGTAAATTAATCAGGGTATAAACCTAGAGAATTTATATTGAAATGCATCATGTTCTTGGTTTATCCTCATAAAAATAATATAGTGGTTTTTTTTTATTATTGGTTATCATTATTATCTCCAAGTCTTACATGAACAACTTCGATTCCTTGCATTGTTATCGCGTTTCTAATTCAAGATTGTCATTGTTTAAGATATTATTGTCATTAATAAAATAAAGTTGAGAAAAGTAAAGTAAAAATGAGTGTAACAATAACATTATTTTCTGGCATGAATCAAACATAATGTTATAGAATAATGAACAGAATATAACACAGTAAGAATGACTTGCTTACTTGTAGCTTTCCTCCATGTTATTATAGGTGCAGGTAGACCATCAGCACTGCAGTCAATTCTGACTGATCCTTCTAAGATAACTTCAGAATTCTGCGGCTCCAAGATCCAGCTTGGAGGAGCTATAAACAGAATCCAACATCTCAGACTAGGATTGCTCAATATATACACACATATCAATAATTCAAGTTAAAACAATTACTAAATAAAATGATTAAGATATCATTTCTAGCAAATAATTATAACATTATATACAATTCTACTTCAAAATTGAAACCTAATGTTTTTTATATTTTCATATTTCCACGCAATTTTGCAAGTTTACTACCTTATTAAAAGGTAATCTAAGCGCGCTTTCACTAGAGTCGAAAATACAGATGAACCAATTAATGTTAATACCCAAAGCTCATTAGCTTGCATACTGATGAAGTTAATGTGATATTAGCAGACCATATGCTGAAGTCCCGGTTCCATTGATCAGTGATGTTTTGAAAATTAATGTTGTATATGATGCATTTCACAAACTAACCTGCTTAAATTAGCTTATATAAAGGAAAATCTAATTAACACGTGAGAGGGTATACGTTTATATTAGCTTTCCTAGATATTTAATATACTTAAAATAAGCACAAATCACAAATAATGAGCAGAAAGACTGTTTTAATATGTGATGATTGTTCTACGCAACGTAAATAGAAATGATAGAAAATGATGAAAGATGTGTTAGCAACGCTCGTATCCTTCAGTGAAATAGCCACTCAAAGCCATTTCGAGTTTTGTACTTGACTGCGATGATAATTAGTAATAACTTCGTTTGTGCTGTTATGAATCTATTAAGAATACTAATTTGTACAGAAAATATTGGCAAATTGTTTGTTTGATTTTTGAATTTCGCGCAAAGCTACACGAGGGCTATCTGCGCTAGCCGTCCCTAATTTAGCAGTGTAAGACTAGAGGGAAGGCAGCTAGTAATCACCACCCACCGCCAGCTCTTGGGCTACTCGTTTACCAATGCATAGTGGGATTGACCGTCACATTATAACGCCCTCACGGCTGAAAGGGACGGGGATTCGAACCCGCGACCCTCAGATTGCGAGTCGAGCGCCCTAACCACCTGGCCATGCCGGGCCTATATTGGCAAATAAGGACTTAAATTATTTTGTTTTTCATTTAGCACGATTGATTTTATACTCTGTTACAGACTAAAAACTTTCTTTTCTTTTTCGGTAAACAGGAATACGGAAAACATAATAGGTAAAATACAAACCGCGATTTAAGATTTTACACATATTTAGCCTTTAAATGATTAATAAAAAGCGCTTTCCCAATATTTATAAAACTACTAATGGAACAGTAACGCACGTATTTTTCACTTCAACTGGATGCATACAAAGGGTAATGATTGGCAAAACAAAAATAATATCTGGCTATTTGGTAAAAACGGAAGAAATTGACCATTCGAAACAGACATTATTAGGACTTTTGAGTTTTGATATCTGTGGAGGTAGCATTTAATGAAAATAATAATACTGATAAATTGGCTATTCTTGACACCTCATAAAGATATTGATACTTGTTAAAACGAAATCATGTACTATAAATGTATTTAAATCAAACGTTTCTTGGGGCAGGAACTATTGATTCATGTCGATTTCATTTGTACGATTACGGAGTGTTAGTACATAAGTAGGTTAACTTAAAATTTCACATCTTCGTTAGTAAAAGCCAAACAATTAAGTGTATAATACCGGTTTGAACTTGAAAGAATGATTTTTTTTAGCATTTTGTATATTAACTATATATATATATATTTACTACGGTGAATTAACATTTTAACGATCTATTCTAAACTTCAATCTAAACTAAACGACATTCACAAAGATAAAAAAGAACATTTGCATGATTTAAGCTATATTTCGAATATTGAACATCATACATACAAAATACGGATATATAATTTTGAATAACGTTTCTTAATTTGCATTTATATCTGAAAAGTTGAACAATGTCATTAATAAGCCTTTGTTTGCATCACGAAAAGAGATTTGCATATTATTTTAAAATCTGAACTTGTGTATTCTACCGATATGCTGTGCAATATGAACACTTGTCATGTAATGTAACACATAACTTTAATTCACTAATACACTATTCTGGATTACAACTCTGCTCCATTAACAACTGAAAGAGTCACTGAATAAATTATAGGATAATGAACTTCCGAACTTTGGACAGTTAAACTAGTTTTTGATTCTTGCAAAATCAGTATAAAAAGGAGTTCAACTTTCGTGACATAATGTTTGCATGTAAAAAGGTGATTTTTTTTTAAATTAATGATTATTTATAGCTGTTTTGTATGAAAGTTTGGAATCAATAGAATGAATTATAGATATGTTCGCTTAAAAACGTGAACGAAGAGAACGTTATTTTAGTTTTACACTAGCTTGATAATAGTTGTACGTCACCTCATTGCACTAAAAAAACTGAAGCTATTCACAGAGCTTCCAATTTTTAAGTATGACAATTTTCTAAATTGAATTCTTACCATTTACTGTCAAGTGGGCGCTATGGCTTGCAGACCCTGCTCCGTTGTTGACGCTACAGGTGTAGTTGCCAGAGTTCTTCGACACTAAATTTCCTGTTGAAAGAATACTATAATCTTGGAAATATTGCACACTCAGACCGTCGCTGGCAGAGAGAATAGACCCATCTTTCAACCAAGTGAAATGAAATGGCGGGTCTCCACGAATCACGGAACACATAACTCTCACTCGCATCCCTAATACAACGTCTGAAGGAAACTGGAAAGGAGAAACTGCCGGTGGTTCTGAAAAGAAAACAACAACAAAAAAATAAAAAAACTGATTTAATGCTGCAGTGACTGACGTGTCGAAAATAGTTTGTGAGCTTTAAAATGAAGGTTAGACGAGTTTCAAAATCTTTTCTTTATTACAAGCGTTTATTGTAAGAATAGTTTTCAGATGTGTAGAGTATACAATAAAGATTGAACAAAGTAATAACAGCAAATAGTGGTACAGATGTTCTTGAAGTCTGATGGATGAAACGAGTCGTTGAGAATTCAGTCACTTTAAAAAAAAAATTCTTAGAAACCGCGAAAACAACGTGAAGAGAAGTGTTTAATTTAGCAATATTTTAACATACATACATCAAATATCGTAATTTTAACAAAGAAGTGTCTGGTACATTAAAAATCTGTAATTCCTTTGTTTGTTTTAAAGGAAAGCCACACTGGGCTATTGACTTTGTCCACTGTGGTGAATCAAATCCCGGATTTTAACGATGTAGGTTTGGTTGTAAGTCCGTAGGCTTACCACTGTCCCACTGGGGGACGAAAACTGTAACTTATTTGGAAAATATGAAAGTAATGTTGATGTCATCTATTTACATTTTCTTCTGTTTGTCCTTATTTGTTGCTATACATGCACACACACACACACATACCCTTCTACCTTCTATGTTCTCTTTTTCTTTTTATCTATCACTGCACTATACAAAGTGGCGTCCCCGGTGTGTGAGCGGTAGGTTTACAGACTTACAAAGTTAAAATCCGGTGTTCGATTCTCTGCGGTAAACAGTATACAGATAGCCTACTATGTAGCTTTGCACTAAGAAAACAACAACAACAACAGCTACAAAGTAGCAATTTCAACAAAACTGCTGAACATGTAAAAATAATAATCGTATCTTTGGAGAAAACAAAATAAATTTCTTATGAAATCAACGAAAAATAAAAAAAAACAGCCTTTAACTTCAAATTTTTGTTTCTTTAGGTTGTGACCTTACTTAATAATTCATCAGTTACAGAATAAAGTTTAGTAACTTTATATCTAGACGTCTTGGTAATTTACAAATCTTAGATTTTCCTTCATTCAATCACCATAACCCTTATGTCATACTAGTGGATCTTGCATTTATTCATATATGAAAATCAAATTACGATTCATTATTTCTATTCAAATACAGTGTAAGAAACATCTATAACGGAAAATTCTCTAATTAGAGATCAGGAAAATAAAAGGGAAATAAACAAAACGAATTATGTTTTAGGAAAAAATGCTTGCCAAAATCTCCTTTGGTGGTGCAAATGAAAAATATATATATTGAAATCAGACGAGTAGTTTAATTTATTACCATGCAAATAATACAATAAGCAATTGTCTCATAAAAATGTGAAACATGCTTGCTCATATCCGATAATATGTCAATCAGCTGACGACTGCAGTTTTGGGCTATTTCAGCTCTCATCAGCCCAGCTAGATCGATGATAGAACGTATAATCTAATTGAGCATTAGATTTCTGCGAGCTAGCCAATCGCTGGGTAAACTGTAAGTTTACGGACTTTTAAAACTAAAATTCAGGGTTTGATTCATTGCAGTGCACAGAGCGCATACAGCCCATTACCTTGGTTTGCGATAAAAAACAAACAAGTATGTTTGCTAGATTTGGGAAATCAATCTAGTTAGTCTGATGAGAGCTCGAAGCTGCAGTCCTTAGTTGACGAAAAAAAAATTTATCCAGTGCTAGGAAAAACATCTTTCATACTTCTGTGAGTACGTTTTCTATCAGTTGCATGGGGGTAAATCGAACCATCCGTTGGATCAAAAAGTGTTTGGGTTTATTTTTGAAGTTTTTTATTATCCTAAGGGGGAACATAAAATGAAGTTCAGGGTGGTTTAAATTAAAAATATATGAGTTAGATATCCTTCGCAGCTCGTTCAATTTTCTCAGGTATCTACTCTAAAAAACATTCTGAATAAAACACGCTGTATTTCTTGTTAAAGTTTACAATAGAACAGCTCAAATGTATGTGATCCAGTTAATTAAGCCTTATTAACAATAAGCTTTGATGATCCGTTCATAAACTTTGCCTAAATAGTACATTTTTATCACAAAGTGATGTTTAACAAATATATCTATTAAAGATGATTAATATTTTGTTACAAAATCTGTTAAAATTATTTCCACTTCTCCCAAATATTTGTGTAAACAAGTGTTTTATTTAGTGAAAATGTCTGTGACTAAGAAGTTCGCTATTATAAATGTGTGTTGGAATACTCGCATTCTCACCAAAGAAATGTAAAGGCAAGAAACTGTCTCTCACGATTTATGTGATCCTTGAATAATACTAAAAGTTATATGATTTAAAGTAGTCCTTTTAATGTAATCATTGTTGCAATAATACTAAAAGTTAAATGATTTAAAGTCGTCCTTTTAATGTAATCATAGTTGCAATAATACTAAAAGTTAAATGATTTAAAGTCGTCCTTTTAATGTAATCATTGTTGCAATAATACTAAAAGTTAAATGATTTAAAGTGGTCCTTTTAATATAATCATTGTTGCAATAATACTAAAAGTTAAATGATTTAAAGTGGTCCTTTTAATATAATCGTTGTTGCAATAATATTAAAAGTTAAATGATTTAAAGTCGTCCTTTTAATATAATCGTTGTTGCAATAATATTAAAAGTTAAATGATTTAAAGTGGTCCTTTTAATATAATCGTTGTTGCAATAATACTAAAAGTTAAATGATTTAAAGTCGTCCTTTTAATATAATCATTGTTGCAATAATATTAAAAGTTAAATGATTTAAAGTCGTCCTTTTAATATAATCGTTGTTGCAATAATATTAAAAGTTAAATGATTTAAAGTGGTCCTTTTAATATAATCATTGTTGCAATAATACTAAAAGTTAAATGATTTAGAGTGGTCCTTTTAATGTAATCATTGTTGCAATAGTACTAAAAGTTAAATTATTTAAAGTCGTCCTTTTAATGTAATCATTGTTGCAATAATACTAAAAGTTAAATGATTTAAAGTCGTCCTTTTAATGTAATCATTGTTGCAATAATACTAAAAGTTAAATGATTTAAAGTCGTCCTTTTAATGTAATCATTGTTGCAATAATACTAAAAGTTAAATGATTTAAAGGCGTCCTTTTAATGTAATCATTGTTGCAATAATACCAATAAATTATTTTAGTAATCGTTTATAAAAAAACGAATGTTGCACTATCTATTATGATAGAATAAATAAAGAAATAAGATAGTTTTCGCATCTGTGACAGTTATTTGGGAAAACATTTTGCGGACAACGTTATAGGCGATCTTATTAACCTTATCTTGACACAACGCGAAAACTTTAAAGGTATTTCTTGAACAAATGGTAAGTGAGTATAGCAAATTTTCTTTAGAAGTAAAAAAAAAAGAAAAACAAGAGATTTAAAAAGTCTCGAAAATGTAGTTTTAGGATTCAAAAAGTTAGTTGCTTTTATTTTCAATAATTTATTTTTAGAGAAATTATAGTATTTTATTTTCACGTGCCAGGTTTTTTTTTACATCTAGTTTCTTCTTCTGTTTTCTTATTATACAAGCATAGAATTACACACTACTTTGTACAGTTAGCTATGTGCAGAACGTGATCCGCATTTCGTATTCTCTAATAAAAATAAAGAAAGAAGTAGTTTACTGCATAATCTGATTTACCTGCAACTCGGAGAATAACTACATAATTCTTTGATCTATGCCGATCGTCATGGTAACGACAATTGTATTCTCCTCCGTCACTACTTTGTGTTACCTTCTGTATAGACAAACTTCCATTTGACATAATACTTTGTCTAGGGTTAACAGGCAAGGTAAGACCGTCTGAAATGGTAAACATAAAGTTCAAATACATTTTTGTTCAAAACACAAAAATATTCTAACACCATGTATTATTATGTTAAAAAACATAGTGTGTGTTTATTTTGAGGCGAACATTTGTTTTGTAAGATGATACATACGAAAAATAAATTACAATAAACGAGAAAGAGTAATATGGTATCTGATATGACTTAAATAAGTTAGGTTTCATGTTCGGGTTATGACTAACCAATACTTAAAATGTTATAGGTTAGTGGTAATTTAATATGCAAGAAGAATAAGTTTTATAAATTAGAACAGAATACTATATGTGGCTTTACTTGTTTGTATCTAGAAAGCACCACGTCAGTCGATTTAAACTTATCTATACAAATTGAATTCAAAGGGTCGGCCAATGCTATTATTATGGAAATTGTGTTCTATGCTCTGTTATTATTGATTGAGATACGATAATCGCTTCTGTGTAAATCTAGTTCAGCTTTGGAGATTTGTTTTTAGCATGAATATGTCAGTATTCTAGATATTAGTTCCAAAATGAGTTCATGCATCTATGCAGACATATATCTATATGACCATCTCTTACAGAATATACTATTTTACATTAAAATTTTGTTATAATAATTTACACCTTCTAAATTTCTTCATTTCGAATTGTTTTATAAAGAGTAATATTTTATTTCAGTGATAACATAAGCAGTTACTTGTTTTTTTATATATGAAAAAATATATATTGCTGTAGGTTATGTTTTTAATATTTTAATTTGGACATTTTATATTGTTTGATAGAGGGAGTCTTGGCATAGTGTCTAGATTTGATGCGACGTCTCGAAGTTTCGTTAGATTTGGGTAAAGACAAATATTATGATATATATAAAGAATCGACTGAGTCAGTTAAAGTGCCAGAGATCTGATCAATAAATCAGCCAATCAGAGTGTGATTAATTTGTTAGTGAAACTGTAACTGTGCATTTAGTCAGCCAGTTTTGAGTTGTGTCATAGATAAGAGAAGAAATTTGACAAGTGACTTCTAAGTTTTATTTGTGAGTCAGGCCTATCAAGAAACACAGCTTGTAGAATTTCTACGTCTCAGTCAAAGAAATAAATCGCTTACACTATCGTTAGGTGGACTGGCTTTGCATTATTTTTAGTTAATAATGAAAAAGAATACACCCAACGATACAAACCGTTACATCAGTATGGAAACTGTTGCCGCTATAGTATAAAACTGCATTTTTGTGTTTGCCTTTCTTATTACCATATTATTTTTCCAGGGCTATTATTTTAGTTCCTCAAAACAGTATAGCACATTGCTCTTAGTATTATATTTTATTTATTTATCTTTTCAACTCAGAAGTTTCATAATATTATTTCTAATCACCATATCATATATTATGTTATTATGGGTTAGTTTCTTTAACCGAGATAAACATTTTTATAAAGGAGATACAAGTAAACCAAGAAACGTCGAAGTCTAGGATTTTAGAATATTATTGCCATACATATTATTAAAAAATTAAGTAATGATGCGCACGTTCGCATTACAATATAAAATTTTTCTACTTATCATTTCTCGTTATAAAAGCAAGCTCGTGTATTAAGATGGAAGATTTACACATTTTTCAATAAAAACAAAGAAACTTCTTAAAGAAAATGAGGTTGTTTACAGGTTTATTTTACTCTATGATGATATTTGCTAACACACGTTTCATTTACTTTTTAGCTCCTAAACGTCATACCTTAAGTCTTTAAGTCTACACATTCTTCTTGCTATACTTCATTATGTTTAAAAACATCAAGTTCTGTTTAATTTAATCTGCATTTAACGAGGAAGTATACACATGGGAATACGTTTTTATTTTAAAAGTGCAACTTTTATAACACTATCATGTTTACATTTTAAAAATGTTTTTTTATTTATAACAAACAAATTCTGGAATTCTGACCACAAGGGGTTTTTCAAAAGACGTCGTAGTTGGGAATTTTGAAAGATCAAGATTATTGAGATTATTAAGCTGGTTTTTCCTACTTATATGTAAAATAACCTAAATTAAAAACAAAGTTTCTTCCAAACTTGTTATAAAATCTTGACAGCACTAGAAATAAAAATGCAGAACAAATACTTAACTAAGTGTGATTTTTAAATTTCTTTTCTTCGGTGAAGTATTTCAGCTTATGTAAAGAAAAGATGCATTTCTTTCCCTTATCTATTATTTATTGTATCCTATTCCATACTTTCTTGACAAAAGATGAAGGCGTTACTGAAATAATACAAATGATTATCGCGATAATAATTTAGGAATGACATGATTTATGTCCTCACAAAATTTTAAGACAAAACATCAGAAGATAAAATAAACGTCAAGTGAGTTCTTTTGGTGTTTATGATATGTTTCTTGTTTTTGCTTTTACTAACACACTAATACTAGAATTCTCGATGTAAAATTCTTTTGACAACGATAGTCAGGATTTATATTTACACTATTTGCATTTAAGGTTTATTAAATAACTAACTCTATTCTTAATGGCATGTGGTATACTAACCTACTGCTATCAACATAAAACTTATCAAATTTAAATTTATTACTACTAATGTTTTGCCTAATAACTTAGTCTTATTATTTAATCAAGCCTACAACATTTGAGCTAAAGCTTATTAATTTAATAAACTTGCAGAATGTTGCGTAACTTACTAAATTTACCTTTATCAGTGTAAGACTTATCAAGTTGCTAAACCTACCATTATTAACATAAGTATTATAAACTTACTAACTATCGATACATGAAACTACATTTACATAACACTTGTTAACTGATTGAGCTTTCCAGAGTTAACATTGGATGATTTAATTACCTGAGTCTACCATAAATTAAGATAAATCTTATTCTATATCAAGCTTAAAACTAGGGTCTTATTCGTTAGATTAACAAGTTTTTAAACTAGCCAGATATTTTTGTTAACTTATGAAAGTCATATTTCACCTTTACTCCATACAATACTTTCAACAGTCCGTCCGCCAGAGGGACACATCAAGACAGCGGTTTGACCACTCACAACAGTCTTCGTTTCTTGTTTGACTTGACGGCGGAATCTATTTAGCAAATGGTGGAATGGATAGAGAATCTCTGCACTCTCTTTTATTTGAAATATGCAAAGAAAATGTAGCAGTTCGGAAACTTCATTTCTATTCCACGTAAGTGACGCCGATTTATGTTTCGTACTTGTTTTGATCACTTTAGAGATATTTAAAGGGTGTATAGGTCCATTTGGTCTGTGCGAATCCCGGAGATGCGTATAAAGAGTGAACCTTTTGCAGTGAACATTTTCAGAACTCCAAGGATGTCCTCCACATTCTGTTCAAATTATTGAGAAAAGTTTTGTAAAACATTTTGTAAGAGTGATACACATCAACACAAATATAAGTTATTAACATTACTACATTTTACTAGTTCTTATAAGGTATTTTAGAAACGGTGCACTATACAATACAATGCATGCTTCCGTAACGGTTGGTCGCTGTATTTTAAGTAAATCATAACAGAAACGGGGCATTGTATGATGAGAATAAGCAACAACTTGTTATTATTGACAAACATATTTCTTAGAATAGAAAAACGTATTTATTGGAAAAAATAACCTTTTTCCTTTATATGTTTTAAGAAATACTCATGCTAGACCACAGTTTTTCTGTTAAATTTCGCACAAAGATACTAGCGGATTGGGGGGGGGGCGACTAGTCAAAACCAACCATCGCCAACTTTTGGGCTACTCTTTACCAAAAGTTGGATTGACCATCATATTATTACACCCCCAACGGATGAAAGGGCGAGCATGTTAAGTGAAGGGATTCGAACCCGCAGATTGCAAAATCAATTCATTTTGCGATTTATACTATGTTTATACGAATGTCCTATAAAGAAATTATAATTATGTATGGAATTTTTAGGGTTTCTTAGTAATTTTATTTGCCTCATTCCATGTAAATAACTTAATTAACGAGATTTTGTTGATCTTTTTTTTTTATTGCAAGAAAACAAATTGATAATTTCGATTCATTGTCTGTTACAAACATTGGATGGAGAATATACCCAAGTATTCATGGACTGTTGACAGTTTTCAGTACCATTAGTTTGGATTTTAAAATCTTATGCCATGTACTAAAGCAAATTTCATTTGAATAGAAAATAAACCTATTAAATATTTGTTGAGTTTTGGGGCAGTTTTTATATAAAACAGTTCTGAGATCGCAAACCATAATCATTTATTCTCGCGTAATAACAACATCCACCGCAAGAGTGAGAATATATTAATAATCTGAAGGAGTTAAGTCCTATTATTCCTCCCTGTACATTTATTTACAAATATTGATTAAAACAAACAAAACTTATTGTTCCCTACTCGCTGAGATTTTAGAAACTTTAAATACCAAGAAAGTGTGCTGACGTATGTATTAAACATCCTAAGTTTCCATTTCTTATTTGTATATATTAGTAAATACAGATTGCAATGTTCCTCCTAACGTCTGTCGAGTGCAGATGTTCTATTGAAGTAGAGCCAGGCATGCCTGATCTGTGGATGATAATTTTGGTTTTAAAAGAAGGAGCTAAGTAGACGTGAGTATTAGATGTGGGTAAAAAAGAAAAGTTTGAGTTATAAGAAAAAAAATCTTTAGTCTGAGACATTGATTTAATACAACTATTTCTAAGAGAACAGTTTTGAAATTGTGACTAAAGATAACAAAGTCGAATGCTCCCATCCGTTAGTGTGAATATTGCCCAGTTTAATATCAAATGAATAAAATATTTTATTGCTACCATTATACTACTCGTTAAATACTAAAATATCTTATAGTAGTAACATTGACTTTAATTCAAATAGATAAATGACACTAAGGGCTCCCCACCTAGATACTCCGCGTAGATGTATTCTTCCTAAATGTTTGGTTCTGTTGTTATCGAGTAAAATCAGATATGTTGGAACTTCTGTAGACAGTAAGCTTCTTGATTATTTTGGAGTTTAAGGAAGATAAGTTTTTGTTCTCCGATTATATGAAAATTATATAGAATCATTGTAGTACCCCATTCTAACATGTTTCAGTATATATTTATGGGGCTTCTTAGAAGTAGGCTGGAGCTGTTGAAGTTTCATTTAAACAAAAGAAAGCTTTAAATCATGTAAATGACATAAAGAGAATAAGCTTAATTTGCCAAAATCTATTTGCATATTCTCTTCACATAAAGCAAGGAGCCAGTTAGTTTGTTAAATCCACTAAATTACTAGTTTTATTGTTGTTTACTAATTTGTGCAAATAAATTACTGAAGTTGAATTATTAGTAGTCTTATGATCAAAAGTAACTTAGCAATATAGATTAGGACTAAACAGTAGCTTAAAGTAGATAAGCCAATTCTAATAAGTTGACTGAAATCTATAAGTTCATAATGCAAGAAAACAAAAACCTATAATTATAATGCATTGTATCCTCAGTTGTATAGCTCTTGCTATTAACACTATTTTCTTTCATTATCTAAGGAACTGGGCCCGGCATGGCCAGGTCGTTAAGGCACTCGACTCGCAATCTGAGAGTCGTGAGTTCGAATTCCCGTCCCACTAAACATGCGCGCCCTTTCAGCCGTGGGGGTATTATATGTGACGGTCAATCCCACTATTCGTTGGTAAAAGAGTAGCCCAAGAGTTTGTAGTGGGTGGTGATGACTAGCTGCCTTCCCTCTAGTCTTTCACTGCTAAATGCGTTTGTTTGTTTGTGCTACTGGGGTAGGGTGGCTCACTGCTAAATTAGGGACAGCTAGCGCAGATAGCCTTCATGTAGTTTTGCGCAAAATTCAAACGAACGAAACCAATCTCAGCAACACCTCAAAAGGCTCAATCAATTCAGGATGTTTTGACTTGTGAATAGTAGGCTAGTCAGATAAAGCAGTCATGCCAGATGTAGAAATTAAATAAATACAAAATATTCAGTTATTATCTACATTATAACCGAACTTAAAAAATGGAGTATGCAAATAGATTTTGTTAATTTTTCTTTTTCTAGCTTAAGCTAGAAAATTGTTATTCTTTAAATAAACTTGAATCATAAAAAAATCTACAGTCCTCGTTTGTTCTTTAAAATAATAAGCAAGAGTGCTTCTTTCGAAACTCCGAAATTCATCTCTGAAGAGAGATATTAGAAGAGAAAGGTTTACACATTTCAGGAACAGTTTCTTATGCATAAGACAATTAGAAATCTTTACACTTCAGATTTTATTGTTCTTAAGGTTTTGATTTAGTGCTTGTCTTGGTTATTACTTAACCAAAAGCACTAAAGAGTATAAATACTAGAACAAATAACTTTTGTTGAAAATAAGCCCTTTCCTTCCTGTTGGTGACATAGTCTTCTTTTTCGCTCTCTTTTACTTTATTTGGAGTATTCATTATACTTGAGCTGATTCATTTCCGGTGATGATACTGCACTTCCGGTTGGACTTGCTACAGCTTTCTATACCTTAGTTTGGATTGCTTGCCTTCGTTTTGGTAATTCTTCTTCTCCAATAGCAATGTTTTTTCTGCTTTCAGTAATGGGTTTGTCGTACGGTTCAGTAAGCTAACCAAACTCTTGATGTCATGCCGCGTTAAACATAAGAAATCTTAGAAGGTTTTCAAGCGTGGAACATGAAGGATATTCTGAAGTTTCGCAAAGTTATATGAAAAATAAATCGTTAGAGATAGTTAGTTGATCACTATCTTTCTTGTATCTGATTGAAAAGAAAGACAACTTTGATTAGAAACTTAAATACACCGTACAAATGTTTCAGTAAATGGATAACAAATCAGAACAAATTCAATTTAAAAACATGGAAAATGGCCATCTTGTAGCTGATCAATATTTGTATACACACGTCATTCCCCTGACAGGTATCTGCCTATTTAGGTGCTATTTAACGTAATTTTTCCATAGTATATTACTATGTCCATCTGATACAATTGTAAATTAAAGGTATACATTCTGTTCGTCTTTTTCTTATCACCCAGAGTATCTTTGGAAAAGAATGTTATCTGTATGGGGATTTTTTTTATATGTAAGTTATATAAAAAAAATCTGCTTTGTTTTTGATTTGTAGCGAAATGTGTTGTAACACTACTTAAAAATATTTATCCGTATTCTTTTTCATAGAAGTTTTAAATACTAATTTATGAGGTACAGTGACATAGAGGTAGAGATATAAAAATATCGTGTCGATTTGTAATTTTTTGTCGAATTGTTATCTCTAAAGATTAAGCTTTTTATATTCTCTATCAACTTTATTATTCCGCCCATCTATCTATTTGTCTTTCTTTCGTTATATACACAGATGTAAATCAACCTGAATAGGTGTTTAGTTAGCTGTGTGTGATTAAAAAACAAACATCTATTTCTGTTATAATTGCGGATCTGGAATGTTCCCTTCCGTCCGTTTAATCCAGAACGTGCGTGACTATAATCTGCCTATAGTGGTTTAAACTCTTTATGAAAATAGTTTTATCCGTGAAAACATTAGCGGGTTGTTTCTGGAAATGAAAAGGGAATTGATTTTTTTATCGCAATGTAGAATAAAAGAGTGGTCATTAATCGAGATAATGAAACAAGCCATGATCACGCCTCTTTTTGATGCTTGCCATTCTACAGAAACGAGTCTCAAGCGTAACTGTCTTCGCCATTTCCGTCTAGAGTATTTGATGAATGTAGTTTTTATTTTCATCTCACCTCTTCTATCTTTGGCCTCCTTTAACCAGAATCATTATTAAAGAAAAATAAAATGGGATATGCCATTTTCCGCATTACATCTGGTTGTAAATTTCTAGAGGTTCTTGATTCATTTTGTATCAGTAAAAAATGTCTAAATTTTTGTTAACATCCAATTTTAATTCTCGTCTCGCTCTACCAATAACGTTTGGTTATATTTTTTGCTGTGTCTGTAGTAGCAACTAAAATTTTTGGTGCTTTTAATGAACAATACTATTAATTCTGAACATTAAAATTGAGGTTGTCGACAAAATCACTAGAGGAATTGTTTGCTTAGAGTTATATAATGAGCTATTTGCACTATGTTCGACGCAGGGCTCGAACCTTGATTTTTAGCGTTATATAAATGAAAGGAAAGAAAATTGAATCTGTGTTAATTCCCGATATTATACTTTAGCTAGGCTGTAGATAGACTTAGAGTTCAGAGTTCTATGATGAAATAGATTAAAACTTCAACTAAGCGGTTAATACATACTTCGGATTTTTTCTTTAAATAAGACCATTGCCTTTTCTAAACATGCATGAGATTTTTAAATGACCAAAGTATATTTACCATTTATATCATGAGATAATAA